ACCCAATCTCTTACTCAAAGATTTGCGGATAATTCAAACTGAACGATGCATTTCATGATTAGAATAGAAATATTCCTCTAAAGCCAATCACGCATCTTTATTCATATTATACAATAAATATTATTTACCGTATTTAGATCGCGCCACGGTTGTTTTGCCTTTGTCCTAGCTAAGCGGGCGCCGTGCTGCTTCAAATTGGCGACGGAAAACTCCCCATAAAAGGCATACATTTGCACAGAGCCACCAGCATCAAGTTACGAACACGCAAATAAGCTCATATAAAAAGCGACAATTTGAACGCAGTGAACTCTTTCGCTTTACGAACAAGCGAATGAAACAACATAAAAACGTGCATTTGACAGAAAGGGCAGCATTGAGTTAAGTATACAAAAAAAGCTAGCATTTGCACTTACTTTAAAGTTACTAACAAGCTGGACATCGCGAATGGTAGGTTTTAAAGTTAGGGTGATTGCCCGGCAAAAGAGAACCGTTCACTTCGATGATTCTTCTACCTATGTGAATATATTTCTACTCGTATAAATATTTCTGATGTTATATTGCTTGGTACATATTAAATTTTAATGAAAAAATATATATAGTTCAATTTTAAAAGTTTTGCATGCGCGGGATCAAAAAGAAGGATTTGCATGAGCGGGATCGCCTGCAGTTGCTGTAACTTATGCTAAAAACAGGTGTGTTGAATAATAAAATGAAATTCTTTTACAAAAAAATGCTTTGCTGAAAGTGCCGACTGCTGAATTCCTTGTGAATTAAGAAGAGCATGAATTAAGAGCGTGAGAGATGAGACGTGGATGAGATTGTATTAATGACGTAATAAAAATAATAAATTTTCCATTTGTATTGGGCTTCTAGATCTAATTCGAACTTTTCCATATTATTTGCATGAATGCTATTGGTACGTAAATTTTGAAGAATTCTCCGAGTTTTACGAGACAATATACTACTCATTCAAACAGTTTTTGCCCGTAAATTTTTTCGAATATATGCATGGCTTGTTCTAGTTACGAAACGTAACAGTTGATGCTTGCGGTTACCACAATATATATTCTGATCTACTTTTTACTAAGCACAATTTAAATAATATTAATTTGTACGTAGTATTTACATATGAATGGAAATCTTAGTTAATGTACAGGCGGACACAGTCAGAATCTGACAAGAGGTGTCTTAGTGATGTTTAGTTTCCCTGCTATAGCCTGCGGTGGCAAGGTTTCTTGATTTATGATATTGTTGCGGGAGATCAACATACACCGGCTATCCCGACGGGATAGCCGGTGTATGTTGTACGACGGGATAGCCGGTGTATTCCACTATCCCGACGGGATAGTGGAATAAATTGACGCCAACAACCCTAGTAGAAGGCTAATCGTCCGCTTGGAAAACACTGATGGCTGACGATAATCGTCCGCTTGGAAAACACTGATGGCTGACGATAATCGTCCGCTTAGAAAAACACAGACAGCTTCATCCGAGATTTCACAAGGTGCATAACGGGTGGCCACTCCCGATGCTGGCAGCTAGAAGAATGATACTTACTTGGTTACTTGGTTAAGATGAGGCGCGTCACCGACTGAAGTATTGGCGCCCCCATTCATCTATCTTCGTGGAAGAATGAGAGAGAGTACAATCGGCACACTCCCCTAGTAAACAGCGGAACTCTGGTCGACAAGAGACTGTTGAGCTGCGCAGCTACAATATGCTTAATAGGATGAATTTCCATTAACTACTGAGCTAATAGTTTGGACGCTAATGCAAAGCAAGACATTGAAGTTATACTGGGAATAATAATATTTCATACGCTGAATATGAATTCGTTTTATTTTCCTGAGAGCAAATTTCTGCACACCACACTTAACTTTTGCGATATATATGATCGCCTCTTATAGAACTTGTTAAGAAGCTTGCCTGTTATGTTTTGTTTTATTAATGACTTTCAGCGCGAAAAAACTTTAAAAATAATCGAAATGAGCTCATTTTGAAGAAAAAATTAATTTTAAATATAATTGCAGGGATACAAGCTACTTTTTTTGACAAATGGGAGATGCAGCTCTAAATTATAAAATTTTGTTAAATTTATCAAAAGTTGCAGCGAAATTATGAGCAGTTGTATTAGAGCTTGGGAAAATATACAAACATTCCCTGGGTGGGCAATGGACGCGATTACGAGCCTCATCATCGATTATTGATATTTGACGGGCAGTAATGAAGTCATCGCTAACGATAACAGAAAGTAAATGAACCCCAAATTAGAATCGTCAAAAATTTAAGAACTTCTACCAATAGCATAGCGCAACTGGACGTCCGACCTAACTATATGGTGACAATATGTCTTGTTAAATATAAGAATCATGGAGACAACTGAGCTGCCAGTCGGGGTTTTTGCGGATGTAGAATGACATTGTATTGAATAATCGTGCTGTTGGTGCTGAAATCACCTATATTAATAAACTAATTGAATTATTCCTAAAATAGGTGGTTGGGCAATGCCTAAAAAATGATTAATTACTCAAGCGATTTATAATTGTGAAACAAATAAAACGACAAGTTCGCTTTGCTTTTCGTTGCAAAGAACGCCATCAGTGAAATTTAGTATTTTGATCATCGAGAGAATACATATTCTAAATGAGAAGATAATAAAATAAATAATGTGGTTGAACCAAAACAAATGTCAGTGAGATAAATAACATGCAAGTTTTTTTAAAATCCGTATTTTGACTCCCATATTCAATGAAAATCCTCCATGTTTTTGAAAACAGCTTAGCATAGCGCAACTGGACGTCCGACCAAACTATAGTGAGAATATTTCTTGTTAAATTTAAGAATCATGGAGACAACTGAGCTGCGAGTCGGGGTTATTGCGGAGGTAGAATGACACTATTTTGAATAATCGTGCTGTTGGCGCTGAAATCACCTGTATTAATAAATTAATTGAAATATTCATTATGTGATGGTTCGGCATTTTTTGTCGAAAAGTTCGCTTTTCAACATTTCAAAAGTTGAAAAGTTCTCTTGGTTTCTCGTTAGAAAAACGCCAGCAGCGAAATTACGTTTATTGCTCAGGGAGAGAACACAAATGTTAATTGTGCAGATAGTGAAATAAATAATGTTGTTGAACCAAAACAAATTTCAGTAAGATATGTAAGTAACATGCAGGTTATTTTAAAATCCGTATTTTGACTCCCATATTCCATGAAAATCCTCCATGTTTTTGAAAACAGCCTGTACACAATATAAAAGCCTAAGCTAAGTTGACCGCGATTAGCCAAAAGAACTGAAGAGGTTTCCTAAGACAACATCTTAAGAAGGCCAAATATGAATATGAGTGAGCGCCTGAGGCTTGTTTTGACGGCGGACTGAGGCAGATTCCGACCATGACTTGTGATGAGTTTCATTTACTGAGCACATAAGGGCGTTTACAGAAGCGCAGTGCTTTGCCTCATTTCATGCGTTGTTGGAAATCGACAAACGTTCATCGAACCTCCAAGAAGATCCACGCTCGATGAAAGCTTATGAAGATAATAAGGCTTATGCTTTCTCTTACTGAAGCTTATGTGATATTATGGAACTATAACAGGAGTACTTCAAACAACTGTGTGTGAAGACGGTGCTTGAAGTGATTCATTTCTTGGCTGCTGATGGAAATTTGATTGTGTTGATAATGAAATATGGTCAAGTTTACCAATAGATTATTGCAATTTTTGCTCTCGACTTCTTTTGCGGCATGCTGCATGAACAAAAAATGCAGCTGTGTGAGCTTGTGTGGTCCCGACGAAATAAAAATGTGATAAATGATGTGCAACTCTCATATTATGATACTGAAGAATTCTATAAAATTACTGTAGGCATATGCAATTAGGCATTCATGCCGTTTAATATTTTCAATAGCTGAGCTCGCTAGCAAATCACACATCAGCTCTTTTTCCTTTCTCATGCATCGGGCACTGAGACGCTCTGCTCGATTGTTTGAGCTGCAAAGTGATGATACAGGCATGATAATGGCTGAATTATTATGTAACATACTAATGACACAAAACTGTTGTTAAAATGGCTTACGTCCTCATTGACATGGCCAAACGCTCGCAATAACAAACAACAAGGCACTTGCTTGCTCACGTAATGGCGCTCAACGAGGCACGCCGGACAATGTGATGCCGGTGCATCAAAACTTAACAATGTGGCGGTATGAGGCCATTATTTCACTTGAGAGCATCACGATTAAACATCTAATTAGTGAAGTTATCTTGTACAATAATGTAACTAATTAAATTTAAAACAATGCTGCAGTTATGACCGGCAGTAAGCCTTGATTACGAGCGAGATCCGCCGATGAGGTGCAGTTCCTCTAAATTTAGACGTTCTTAGATCTAAAGTTTTTCTTTTTATTCTTTAAGTGAATTGAATTAACCTCTCGTATGGTACTATTGAAGTGTGTTCAAAATATTGTAAACGGATTGAGAAGGGTTCATCATAACATTATTTCGAGTATAATAACTTTTTTCGGACAGGTTTCCATTCTTCTAAATCAATTTATTGTAATGTAATCGGGAAGTAAAGTGTGATTACAGTTGAATGAAGACATTATAAACCCACTATATGTTTACCATGACATGCCTAGTCAACGTACTTCCTCCCATTAGCAGATGGTAACGACGAGACTACATTTAATTTACGCATGGAAGTACCACAAAGCTGGTGGAATTTAAGACGAATAAGACCACTTAGGGCTGACGCGTGCAGCAAGCGAAACACTTATTAGTTCATGGAAGAGCCATGCAATCAAGGCGGTAGTGCGTAGGCATGACTTGTCTCATAGATTTAAGATATCAATGATATCGAGAGCAGCACTGCTTGTCGTTTATATGAATGACGTCATACCTTAACTTTGTCGTACTTCCATGTAACGAAGGCGTAGGCGTGCACAATATACAGTACATTGGGTTTACGTACGTAACTTACAAATAAAAAAAGTAAACACTTACCTTGACGTTACCGTACTTCCATGTGAGGAAGGCGATGGCGGGCAGACAGGCGATGAGGGCGAGAGCGAGGACGAGGATGGCGGTGCGCATGAGCCAGTTGAGCGTGACGACGCATGGGCGGCTGTCGTCGCACGTGTCGCAGCCTGGCGCGCATGACAGGCACTCGAACGCGTCGCTGTCGTCGTACACTGACGCCTGCTTCTGCTCACCGTACACAGTATCATTTATGTGTGTGAGTTTGAACTAAGTTCTCGCTTAATTGATTGCTAATTGAACATTAGAGAAGCAGTTAAGAGTTCATTCTATATTTTTAACCTTGAGGTAGAACACAAGTTTGAAAGATTGCTCTAACAAATCGTATTGTGATAAATTTCTGCCTAAATTGCTTTTGATTAAATCAAACACTCCTGATTTTTTTATCTAACCATTTATAATCCTTCAGAATATTTCGCCAATCATTCATTTGCCCAAAATCAAGTGTTAAAACTTGATTTGGTTCTTTAGTGTGAAATCCAGGTATTTATTTCGACAGATTGTCAGTTGGTAGAAGAGTGAATGGAAATTATCTCTGGCTTCATATTAAACTAAGTCAAAATGGCTGTATTTGAAGAAGCAATTATAACGGTCTAGCATTAGATACAACTTTTGATAAATACAAATTCAATCAAGCTTTTCGTTGACATTATATGGCGAGAATTTTTACGATTGATCGAGATCGGCATTTCCTAATCGAGCGTCCCTCGCAACTTGTACACTCACGTGTACTATATTCGTTAAACCAACACGTGAACCCGCAGCGTTTGTGCGCCAAATAAACGCAGCTTTCACAAGTTAGGACATCCTTTTCCAGAACAAAAACAAACTGCTAGTAAGACAGAACTCCAGATGGCTTGAATAAAAATAATAGAAGTGCTGTTTATAACTAAAGTACGAATGAATTGTCACGTGTCTAACATTCAGCATGAAAAGCTTTGCTGAAGAACTCCTTATCCTTCACTTTATAATTATTATGGTTTCGAAATTAAAGTGAAATCCAGAAGTTGAAATAAATTAAAGTAAACTGTACGCGCGAGATTGCGCTAATGCATTCTGCTCACACATCTTCACGCTACGCTCGTCATAATTAATGCACAAAGAAACTTGAAGTTTGAATTCTCCTTATCAAATTAATCAATAGTCACATTGAAGGAATTCCCAGAGAATCTAAAGTTAGTTAAATAATTTGCATAACCTTCAAGTTTAATATTATTCAGTAGTTATACTTTTACTCAGAAAGATTTTAATTTATTCATTCTGTGGTTTTAGACCAACTAATATAAAAAGAATGTAAAATATAAACTTGAATTACTCTCACATCAAAAGTTTGTGGTGCACAAATATATATTCATTCATTTGAATGACAATAAGGACTTGATTAATTGAGGTCAGACGTAGACAATATTGAACAGCTCGTATGTTCTCAACAAGATAAATCATCAGTATTGTCACTGCCTATACGATAATTTTTCCTCAATACTCAAATTTATCATGGGAAGGCGAAACTTTTATTGCTTACGCTACAATTTCCGCATGTCACCAAAAAATAATTTTTTCGATGGCGTATAAATTGTGCCGTTGAGAGCTTATAATAGGGAAATTATTTGTGACTGCAAAGGTCCCATAAAATTCGAGAAATATTCCTTTGTCGAAGTTTTTTCAACCGACGAGTGAAGAGGAGGTACGATTTATTTTTGCACTAGGTCCTCTGAAGCAAGGTTTGGTCAGCAGATCTGAAGCACAAACATCTGTTGTTTGCCCTTCAATGAAGCCTTTATGAACCAAATCATTGATATAGAAGCTGATAGTCATTGAAGACTTCTAACTTTGGAGCTGAACTAAGGCACGAGATTCGTATATGCGTATAACAAATTTGAAATATAATTTTAAAATTACCTCATCGACGAAGCCAGAAATAATATTCAACTCGCTTCGGCCTGGAGTGTCGCTCCATAGTAATGTAGAAAGATGAATAACTCATATTCTCACCGACAGTTTTTTCTCGTATTCCTCTTCAATGATGGTTCCGTTGAAGTATTTCTCGGCGGTTGAGGTGTTGGGAAAGTAGAACCCGTCCCTGCACACGCACTTGTAGCTCCCCCTACGGAACCCAAGCCCCGGCAGCGACACGCACTGAGAGCATAAATTAGCTGGCATTAATGCAAATAAAAGTGGAATTCGTTATAAAATGACAGAATTTTTTACAGACAATTGAGGAAGAATAATACTAATCCCGAGAGCCTTTATGATTCATTTCGTTGGCAGGCAAATTATTATTTTCCCTTCTTAAGCTCAACTAACTAGTAAAAAACATCAGAAACAAACATTAGAAACATTTAATGTTGCACAATAAATAAATTGTAAGGTATATTTATAGATATCAGACAAAAAAATTCGAAAAATGGATGATACCACTATTTTTGAATAATTTTGTAGTAGTGTTTTCAATATATAAGCGTAGTTCTCCTGACTGACGTTATGCAATCATTAAAAGCCTATGACAACGCCTCTTTATCAGAGGCAGACACTAACTTCGCTTCATGCGAAGAGTTAACTAGAAAGCTATCATTTCGGTAGAATAAAATAGACGTCGGGTAAAATTTTCATTTAAAACCACTGCGATAGTTCATTTCTGTGCGATAGATGCTCAATCAATACTCGTTTTCAATAATTGAAATCGATATACGGCGGCAGCGAACGAAATACGAGTGTGTTAACAGCAATAAATAGCGGGATTTATATGTTAAGTAATGCTCCTACGCAGGTGTCTGATGCTTAGTTTAGCTTCGATGAGTGAGTGATCGAGGAGATTGATCAATGAACAATAAGTTCACAAAATGAATAATTTTCCGTTCAACCTTAAATTTATAAGTACATAACATTTTATTTAGAAAAATTGATTTTGTTCATATTATTCTCCTTCATTCCGGTGCAGCAGAAATTATTTTCATTTAATTTTTTGGAAAAACATGGATTAAACACCGAAAATTAATGAATCCCCACAAAATTTCATCCACAAAGCAAGAAACGAAAGTAAAAGTCCTTCATCCGCTTGGATGTTACTGCACCTCTAAACTGAACACCGTACACGCGCGGATCATAGACGGCTTCCCGGCAGATGCGTGGGCAGCTACAGTGGAAGTGATACCGATAGAATATAATCCCTTGAAACGAAGGAAAACTTTCATGTCTTTTCGCAACCGTACACGGAAAATAACTCTTGGCCTGAATGGAACTATTGATGGCCGAGCAATCCAATATATAGTGCGTGAAAATGCGCGGTCTCATAAAAATGCAGAGTTTGTTGCAATCGCGCGGAAGGTTCGAGGTCGCAGATTGCGGCTCCAGCGGCTCCAGGGATGACCAGCACAAACTTCTCGAATTTGAGTTCTGAAGACCGGGCTTCGTTCTTGTCAAGTGAAAGTGCAAGGGAAATTGAAAGGCTTACAACAGCAAATTCAAGTTTCTGGTGAATCTACACGTGGAAATAACGAACTTTTGTGAACTCGATTTGCGTCAGTATGAATTCATGTAACATTCATCCTCAACTACTATGGGAATGCATGTTTATTTCCATTGACAAATTCTTCTTGGTCGTAAAGTAATTTTGAAAATTTTATTGTGAACTTTGTGCCAAACCTAATTTTTAACCGGTGTCTTATGCCTCTTTTTAGAATAGTTTGCGTTTTTTCTACAAATAACGCACCTGTGATTGCGTAACAGTTTGCTGGTGACTCCCTTATCTATGTATATCAGAGTTCTTACAATGAAATTTCGTTAGATGTTCAAATCGCTCAAAAATATAACATAAACTAGAAAAATTGTGAAAATCAAAATTTTCTCCAGAAATTCATTTATTATTAACTTCTTCCAGTGGTTAGAAGAGTAATACAAACTACACGTAGACGCGATCAAACTTACGGCGAATATAAACAGCGTTTTATGTTCCTCAACCAAGGATGCCTTGATACGATGCTGATACGGACGGTAAGTTTAATGGTATTCTGAAAGCTTAGATGTGTTAACAGACGTTTTGTCTTGCTTTAAAACACATTCATTTCTACATAAAACTTCTAGGTTAGAAAGAATAGCTTGCTTTGAGAGGCTTCTTCATAGGAAGAACGTAAATATACCACGAATTTCAGATTCTATGCCAGATTCTCAGTCAATCTAATTTATAATTCAAGTGAATTTATTTAAGGAACTGCTAGGAAATTTATTGGAGACTGATGAATGAATATCGTTTGAAAATATATAAATTGCTGGCCAAACCCTGACCTGCAATTACATTAAACGTAATAATACATAAACAGGTGAAATTCACATTAGAGGTAATTTCGGATCCATTTCTCTCCAAGCATAAACAAAGAAAAGGCTTTAACTGCTAGTAGCAATGGATTGGTACTTAGTGATCTGCATAATACTCTTTTAATTACTCATCTTCAAAATCAAATGATGCGAATTTCCGTAACCACATAACTACAGCAAAATAATTTTGATCTGCTTATTTCATAAATATCATTATTTTTTGATCAATAGATCCTCCGCAATTTATTCATCAATGTTGGTAATACACATGTAATTATTCGATAATAAAACTTTGACTGAACGTAATAATATATTGTGAATGTAATAACTGCACTCATAGAATTGATGACTTAAAGGACTATAAAAACGTAAGCTGCGGACCATTACGCAGGGTTCACGACATTCCGCCGAGCACGAGCCAGGTCTATGCCAGTCACAGTCCAGTTCAATATTCAATATATTAGGAACCACAACCACAGTAAGAGTTTGTATTTGTGATCTAACTTCTTTCAGAATTTTAGGAACCACAACCACAGTAAGAGTTTGTGCTGGTGATCTAACTTCTTTCAGAATTCTTTTTCATTTGAAAGAATGATAGTGCGTCATATCTTCCTGTAGGGGAGAAAGACTCGGCCCTGACTTAAATTTTTAACTCCAATATTAGCCAGAAATCGAAGTCGAAATCGTTTCCCGATTGGCCCCAGAAGATGTCACAGGAAACTAATCATTCGAACACAAAGGGAAAGTCACAAAAGATCTTGAGAGCAAAGAATAATTCCAGCGCCGAAGGTATTGTGCTCCCTTCCGTCTCATTATTGGCCCTGGGGAACAGCTTGAATCTAACGGCTGTTCCTTAGGACCCAAATTTATTCGACTTTAATCTGCCGTCGAGATTAAGAAATCAACCACTCTAAAGATGCTCATATTGTAGACGGTGGTCGGGTGACGGGATTTGAATATTTTCTCATCGCAACTCGAGAATCCCAATATCACTGTTATCAATGAGAAAATAAAGTAATCGATTCTTTTAAATAATATTCTTTTATATTTTCCCCTGTTATGATTTATGCGAATTACTATACGATTATTAATGACTAGAAATAAATTAATAACGGTTATAATACCGCTAGGAGCTAATTTTGGCGTGGAGACATTGATAATCATATGTTCCTCCATTAAAGTTAAATCCTAAATGTTTACTCCTAGATCCCTGACACAGTCATGATCTTAAGTCCTGAATTAGTTTCAGTTTCAAACATATTAATGTGTGTATTGCAATGCCGCTCTGTTGCAGCGGCTCCCTCCATATTTCTTTGTGCGAGTACAGTTGGAATTTTGTACGGGAATCCCAAGGGCTTTAAATTCTTTGCGCAATTAACGGTCTTCTATAATAGCTCATTCCTCGGGCTCTTCTGCTATATACTCTTGCACATATATATCAAATAAAAGAATATATCAATCTAATCTAGCTTAATCGTAAACGTAGTAATTATTTATTTGCTAACATTGCACACTCATTCAGGATTAGACGATACCAAAAATTATCCTTTCATAAAATAAAATTTTGCGCCATTGAAGCCGAATATCATTGATGTGGTCAATTTAAGCGCACCACAAACTGCAGTAGAATATCAGGTAACCAAATTTCTAACGTGGAATAACAATTTTTGTTACCTTCTCACACGATACACGATATTAATCAAATCCATCAGACAGGGATTATATTTAAAATCGTATCAAATTGTATAATTAGAAAACTGGTACTTTGATCAACCATGCCGAAGTGCAGTTATTAAATAATAAATGCTGTCTGGACGAATAATTTCAATTATCATTTGATCTATTGCTTTGAACTATCGGCCAACAGAACTTCAAAAAAATAGGATGAACTGTTTTAGAATTAATAACATTTAGCTTTAGTTTAACCACTCTACTCCAATTATAAGCTTTCGCAAGAACATGTTTAACATTTTAAAAATAAAGAAAAATACAACTCTATGCAGGAGCAGCCAACCGAAGCCGATTAAATAACTCAATGCAGAGCTTCCTCAGTCTGGTTGCCCTCTGGCTGGGGTGAGGGCATTTCAAAGTAAGTTCAGTTATGAAAAAGATATTCGGATGTTTGGCTCTTTAAATCAGTTCAGTAACTCCAGTTGGAGATAAAATTCAGATCAGCTTCCATAAAGCCTCTAAAGCCGATGCCTGCAGACGCTCCTACATTCTGCAATGAGCTGGGCAACTGTGATCAAGGCTATCAAAACTTTGGCTACTTCGCCATTGTTAACTTAGATCTTACCGTAAAAATCTCAAACTTGTAAATTACCTCCTGACTGCAATGTATAGCTGATGCGAACAATGAATATCGAGGTCTGCGTCGGCTACTAGTTCACTCATTTTGCTCTTTCGAAGGCAAAAACCTGATGTAAATTTTTGAGAAATAAACAAACTGGAATTTGAATTGCAGTTACATAATAACAATTTGACTTGCGGTCAAATTATGGACGTCGATTTTGGAGATTACGGGCAATCGGGCTTACAGAGATTTAATTTTTGACGTCGCCTGCCCGAGCTAATTAATTTCAGAGAAACAATTTGGCACGTCGTTCTGTCCTTAATGACGAGCCGCTCCCTGAATATTGGACGCCGATTATCGCGCTCATCAGGTTAGCTTGCGTACGCCGAATTCGTAATATGCCGAGGTTCTCCCGGTGACGACTTAGCCAGCTACATTAATGTGGCAATATTCTCTACGGATCATTTGAACGTCCCTTCAAACAACGCAGGACACGAGCGTGCGCATGCGTGACTATACAAATATAAGTTTTACTTAATGAGTCTGGAAGAATAATTATGATGCATTAAAAATCAATTATATCATTTTCTAACGAGTAATAATTACTCGAAATTGATTGGTTGTTTAAAATTTTCGGAAGCGATTGGGACCATTTTTTCTCGCAACGATAATTACGCATTGTGTAAAGCAGCGTATTGATAGAGATTGTTTTTGACTCGTTCATCATGCAATGTTTTGTGTTTTATGATTTCTACCAGACACTGGCTATCCTTGATAACGTGTCTATATAGGGGCGAAGGAAAACAATTTTCAAAACATTTAAAATCTTCACATTAGTTGGTGAATTTCCTTTTTCGAAAAATATCATCCAGAGTTTTTCTATATTATAAAAGTTAGGATCTGCATGGAAATATCACAGTCAATAATACCAAAAGAAAGCGAAACTTGATTCGAACGAATGTTAAAAAAACTCAGCTATATATTGTAAGGGTCAAGTCATTTCTAGTTAACCCTAGGGTAATATTCACATTCGACGTAATAATCTGAATCCATTAGCCGTTCATCAGCCACTCTCACCCTGGCCGCCAGCGCAATAGGCCAGTAGTTTAATGTGTGCTCTTGATGGGAAATCTGCATTTGTCATAACCCTGTTCATTATATTCCGTACAACCATTGCAACATTTAAGGAGCCTGGCTCATCTCTCTTGTGTCCATTCTAGTTCCGGTTGGGGAGACAATCCGGTACACCGGAGTTAACAGCAAGACTACCCCAGCATTTTGTTATCATCTATAGAGTTATTTTGCCTGCCTTCAATCAAGTTGCCTGTGCTTCATCCGCCAATCGTCTGTAATTCAAGCGCCAATCGTCTGTGACTCTGTCAGTTGTCTGTGACACTACCGTCAGTCGTCTGTAGCTCCACCATCAGTCGTCTGTTAATCTACCGTCAGTCGTCTGTGACTCTACGGTCAGTCGTCTGTAACTCTACAGTCAGTCGTCTGTAACTCAACCGTCAGTCGTTTGTAACTCTACCGTCAGTCGTCTGTAATGTTGTCTATTTGTTTATTTTCAATTAAAATTGCTGTTTAACCCTTCCTTTATTACCCTGTCGATTCATTTGATGCCGTTCAGCCTTTTCAATACCCTGACAATATTTTAGGTTGAAGTAACTTCAAAGATTTTAAAAATTGATTTTCAAACCTAATTTAATAATTTATTAATATAATAATAACTTTTTGTCAAAATACTGAATCCTTCTGGGCTTTAATGTGTGCTGTAGAATCCATGAATGCTATTCTATACTTTATAAAAGTTATTTACTTTTGAAATTCTAAATTCATTTTAAATTATGAGCATTATAATTGAATATCATGAATAATTGGGCATTGCAGCGTGAACAGGCAGCAAAATCCATCCTGCGAATTCCCAAGAGCAACAAACACCAGGAAGCCTCGAAGTATCGAAAGCAGCAGCCAAAGACTTTGAACTTGGCCAAATGGGACTGTCTTCCTTGGAGGACAGAAAGAGAAGAATTCGAGAAATCCTTGGACGCTTCGAGCGCGAAATTTATCTTTCGTCGCGACAGATGCCAAGGATGGAAGTCCCCGAGTGAAAGGAGCCGTTGATGCTTCTTAGCTACCATCGAATTCTAAACCACGCTTCGTTCCTGCTAAGCTTGTTTAGACGAGGAGCCGTTTTCGATCTTCAGGTCTCGAGGGCACTCCAAGAGACCGTCAAGTTGAAGCCCGGAGCTGAGAATACTTTAGGCTGCTTCAGTTTGAAAACGAGGAGGCTTATGGGTCGTACGTCCTAGGAAGCGATCTTTAATGAACGACTTTTCCGACTAATCAGGGAACTGAAGACTGCAAAATGGATAATTATTAAATTTTTATACAAATTGCTTTAAAGTTTTTCATATTTACGTTCTACCCGTTAGTTTACTGAAAATATTTTAGTGGAACCAACTAAATTAGTGCATCTAACAATTTACAACGAATATCTTTCTTAGTTTCAGAATCAATTAAATCTTATTCTTTTAACGCTTGAACACCCCGATTAAAACCGATTCATCTAATTTATTTGAAAGCTTAAATATTTGCAAATATCAGCCCATAACCAATTAAATTTCCTTTTCGTCCCCACAGCGAGTATCATGTTATTTAATATTTGACGACTTCGTAATGTGATATTTTAATGATATAATCATACCCTGCTTGGTCTGTCAACTCAATTTATCGGCTCATTAAAGACTACCCTAAGGAACTCATTAGTCGAGAACGTCATGAGTGCTGAATAGTAAGAAATAAATTTGCGATATTTTCTACTAATGCCTTCGGGCACGGCAAAAAAATTTAGGAAGTTAACTGTTTGTTTTTACTTTGCACCGAGTCAGTTGTCAACAAGTTTCGGATACAAAAGCAAGTTTGTTAGAAAATGATGAGCTCATCAAGAAATTAATCACTAGAGCGTTGATTAATTGACCTGTAGACTGTAGTGTACATAAGTGGTATATAAGTGGTGAATAATTTCCTCAAACAAACGTTTCGGAAAGTTTTTTTCAATTAAGTTCATGATGTCATTTTAAAAAATTAAACACGAATTTATCTCCAAATAACAGAAGACGGCATTTGATTACTGACATAATTTTAGGGACAGGAATTAATTGTGAACTTGTTAGCATGAAACTCAACTACAGCGACAGAAATCTCGTTATATTCGTCACGCTAAAAAAACAACGCGCATCATCAATAATCGACCGTCTACCACTTGCTGATAAAATAGCAGGAGCTTTTAATACCTCATAGTTTTTAAATGCTTAATATGCGCAATTATTCGTCATTATTCCTTCCAAAGTTAACAATTACAAACTGAGTACCGGCAGGGACGTTTATGAATTAAATTAATTCACTTTGATAATAAATTTGTTCGTTGGACGTGAAATTCCTTGAAAATAAAATTGTGTGAAAGCAAGAGCCCTCTCATGCCAAAAATTATCATCTTGTTTCACTCTATTTAAATTCATTTCCGTCCAATAAATCAACACAGGCACATATTTCCGGCGGACTCACTTGCGTTGTTCTTTTCTTGCATTTGTCGGAGGCAGCGAAGATATTGAGGGCCGTGGAGCCAGCGGGCAGAGGACATTGGTCGATGTCCACCCGCCGCAGATCGATGTCTATGCCGCTCGTGCCTCTGTCAGATAAGAGATGTGATGTGAACAACCAATCAGTCATGAGTAATGGAGGGTGGAACAAATGACTATACCACTCCTCCTTTTGTCAAATAAGAGATGTTATGTGAACTGTCAATCAAGTCATAAGTAATGGAGGGTGAAACAAATGACTATACCACTCCTCCTTCTGTCAGATAAGAGATGTGATGTGAACTGCCAATCAAGTCATAAGTAATGGAATGTGGAACAAATGACTACACCACTCATCCCTTTGTAAACCTAGAGATGTGATGTAAGAATAGATAAAGTCAGATATAAAGGCTTGCACAACAAATGCTAGCAGCGCTCCTCCCTGCGTCAATGCAGGATTACGAACACTTAATATCCTCCAAAGTAAATAAAAATTCCTCCTGGAAACGTTTAGGTCTCACCCTCGTCGTCTTTCAGCAAAACGGAATAATTGTGGGATGAATTGATGCCGTCGCAGCTGTACAAATGGAACACATCAAAATATATGTGTTCCATTTGTTTGAACACACATCATCAAAAATATGTCGAATGTCGGTTTCAGGCGAATAAACCCCGAAAAGGCATTTGAGTTTGTCATAGAATTAATTAATGAATAACTGAGCTCGGCATCTATACTGCTCGTACCTCTAGCAGAAGAAAATGAGTAGTTAAAATTAGTCATGAAGAAATGTACCAATTTTGAATCTATGCTAAATTAAGTTGGGAAGCCATCGAAATAAAGCTTTTGGGCAGTAATTCCTAACAACTCCTTCCCTCGTCGGAAAACAACTCTTTAGTAATCAAATGGAAATCGATTGCCAATTTTGGTGGTTGAAGATTTTGCAAAAAAAAATTTGTAACGTGAATACATCACCATGATATAAACTTGGCCTTCTTTCTGCTCTGTTGATTACTTCAAACATTTTCCAGCCTTATTCGTATTAGCTTTACCATAGCGAGATTTTAAATTTGATGGCCCCGATTTATATGAACTACAATAAAATTATTTCATCGAAGCAGTGAAAAGGCAGCTCATTAAGAATATTTTAATTTTAAGCTAAATTTCTTTTGCCTTTGCCTTTATGAACTTTAAATGTGCATCACAACAAATCATCCGAATTTACTGTCAACACCATTTTCTTTCAAAAGTAGCATGAGAAAGTGATGTCTAAAAAACATAATTTTTAAACTTTTGATTCAATAATAATGTTCAGCTATCAAATAGGAATGATGTTGCATGTCTACCATCATGTTGCACTATTAGACGCAGGGAGAAATAGCATCGCTTTTTGAAAGATTTACATGAAGGTCCCAACAGGACTTTGCTACATAATGACCTTAAATGCAATTACTTCAACCTCGCACCCAGCGATCTAGAAGCCAGTATTCTCATAACATTTTCGCACGCATGAACAACGGCTATTGTTATCATTCGCTGCAAGAAATTAATTATTATTGGTTGTTGCCATTTTAGTCGATATTACAGCCATGCCTACACGCTTGACGGAGGGATTCGTTTCCTTCTACATGCCAGTATTATAGTCATGTTGTGGCTCAGTTTAAGGAATGGTCACAGCAAGTCTAGTTTCCGTGTTGGCCGATGTTCCCGAACAGGAATTTTCTTTAGAATCAAAATATCCTATATGGCAACGAGTAATTATTGAATTTTTTGTATTTAGGTCGACATTTATTTGTAGATTTTCTTTAAACAAAAACCACGACTTTGAACGAATTTCCAATTCAAATATCGGATGAAAACTCTTGTTACTAAAAACTGTGTTGAATTTTTCCCATTTAAATAACAGCAGTTCATAAATCGCAGAAAAATAACAAACTGCTGTGATTCAAACTCGTTCTAGTTCCTCAAAGGAAGAAATTGCAAACCTCGAATTAGTTTCGGAACAACTCGAGGCCTGAGAACAACGTTGGCGTAACAAGACTGCCTCTCCATGTATAGGAAAAGAATTCTCGAAAATTTTCAACTTGTCTGTAACCTGCCAGTCAATCTTGATTGCTTGTATACAACCAATTCGAAACAGCAGATACGCTTAGGCAGAATTCAGGTTAGCACTAGACTTTCGATATAAATCTACTGAAGATTCTGGCAAAGACCTGTTCACGCTCAACGTCACATGTTGAAAAAATTTAAAAGGCGACTAGTTCCACTTTTAAACAAACTTTTAAGAAGCAATATTCCACGTTCATTTATCGGTTTACACAAGATGAAAAGCGAAATTGTAACCCCCATGTGTGGCAACATTGATCTTAATTCGACTCCCTATTTGAGACATTAGATGTGCTTATATAGTGCTTCATAATGCAGGCGCCATGTGTAGGCTGCGAATAGTGTTTTTTTAATGTAAAACTACATGCTTTAATGTAAACAATGTTTGTAAAACTGTAAAAGATTTTATGGTAAATTTCTCAAATGTAAACACACATTTACCAGACTTCAAATTCGTGATGTATCGTCATAATCGCAGGTAATATTTGTCATAAGTTCAACTAGTGGCTACCTGATTTTTCTAGCAATTTACGTGAAAGCTTTGAAGTTCAGTCACCGCGTGACACTGATTGGCGGACACTCCATTGTCCGCTAGCGGACTTAATTGGACTCCGTGTTGTGCTCATGTGTCAGTTCCGCAGGAAACTGCAGGAACATTTATCGTGCTACGATTGTTGATACATACATCACATGTTATTGTTGTGCTGGGGCCATGTTCTGAGTGTTTCATTTGTGAATTAAATGAATCACGCAGGTGAAAGAAACAATCAGTCAGGTGAAAGAAACATTCATATACCTGCAGGAGGTCGATTGGCACAACCTCATATAGCAACAATTTTGCTTGCTGATGTGATGGTCAAATTCGCTCAGTCATACGAGTATATGATACTAATAAAGATAGGAACAATAATATTTTACACGTTATAAACGATGTATACACTTTATTTCCTTGAAAACAGCTTACATAGAAATACTACGAGAGATCGCGCAGCACTCTTTATTACGCAATGCAAAAAATAGGCAGACTCGAAGCTCGTTAGCCACGATAGCTGTGGCTTGCACCTCACATCGGCGGTGATGGATGGCATGGGTGACTGTGGCATTTCCAGTTGGCTTTTTGCAATTCGTTTGACAGGCCGTGAAAAATGGCTGGACTGCCCTACTTCGAATGCAAGTTTTGGCGAACCTTACTTTCATTTTGATGAATGGCAGAGACGCTCTCGATCTCGGGCATAGGTTGATGTAAAAACGGTAAAACCCATTAGAGAATTTGTCCAAAATTTGCACCCGTAAAAAAGAAACTCAGACATCGTTGAAGATACTAAAAATGAACAGCCTTCGTTAGAATACACGAGGAATTTATGCGATATATTAGGATAACGAGGGTATAACTATAGTATATATATATACTCTCCTCTGGTTTCTGAAGCGAAATTTTAATTAAACATTTTTTTCTTTCATTAGTTTCTATGAATTTACGCAACAGTTATTCAGGGAGACGTGAGGCGAGATGAAATCATGTGATTCATGTATCCATCTATCATATCTGTTTTAATAAAACAACGTCGAAAACTGGTATTAATAAATCTGCCAATTAACTTATCCTACGTGACAAGTCTACTACAGATTTATGACAATATTTCATATTATATTACGCATCAGAAATCCCTTTTTACCACGCACTAGAAAACGATATTATCTCATCTCTCAGACACGCGGAGAGTGTCAGGGAAAGCTTATTTCTCAGGGCAGAAATTCCACATGCTGTCTGGTATTGGCTGCCGCAGCCTCACTGTCGCAGAGACGACATTGTGAAGACAAACTAAATTGGAGCCTTTCTAGGAAATGTTTTTTATAAAAATTTTATTTTTTTTTGTTTCATTTACTTTAGCTTATGATAAGATATTTCAGACTGAGGGAAAATATCGAAAATGAAGATTTGGGCTCAATAATACTAATTTTTAAAATGTATATGTTAATTTGTGCAAGAAATCAGAGATTGAAAATCTTGGTATGCAAATCTTGACCTTATCTTCAAACTAGAAATCTTTCGTACACAAACAATAATAAAAAATACAATAAATGTTGTAACTAACCAGCAGGCAATATTCCAAAATGAAATCAAGTGAAGCAGAATAATGACATACTCAAGAAATTATATCATTAAAATATCACCAATATTTTAATTAAAAACAGTTTCGCTTAAAATTTACACGACGTGAAAATTTTAGCTAGCGGATAGTTTAGTTGTGGTCGGCTCGTGAAGCGCTTGAATATTCAATGTGAGCGCCAACACGAGCTCGATGTTGGCGTGAAATCTAAACAGTGAAGCTTATGTTCATTATTTTCAGAGGTAGCTATAGTTTAATGCCATATTTTATTCCGCTATCTTTCATGCCAAAAAAATACCTTTGTTATTAATTTCAAGCTCTGCATGTTTCATGGCGAGTTTTGAATAAATTAGTTCACATATATTGAACAAAAATACGAAAAGTATGAATGAGTGGAGTTCTTGACATGATTTCGCTAATGCGGAAAGATGCCAAGTCTTAGTTTGTGAAATTCACGACGCGAGGAGTATCAAAATATAATATGAATTACATTTATTAGTAACGTTATTTTGTGATTGGTTTTAGAGGAGCATTAAATTGTAACAAGATTCCCAAGATGAAAAGAAAGCCGTAAGCGAATTGTAACCGAAACATTAGGCAAGAATGTATGCATATTCACCAATTTTAATCATCAATTTTTATTACTTGCAATACTTCATTGCGGGAGGTTTTCTAACGTTAAATTCTTATGATTTCGGATATACCGCGCTGGTTAGCAATGTAGGCTGGCAGTACACAACAAAATCATCAGCATCACGATGAATATAACCTCAAAACCAGGCGCTGTTGTTTCATTAAGCTATTTTGTATGCCATTAAAATTTAACTGAAGTTTTCACCTGGAATGAATTTTTGACCTCGGACCGCAATTTTTGCGGAACTCAAACGATTTTTCTGGTTGAATAACGCACTCCGCTGTGATGCATTGGTTCGTTCTTTCTGAAGGCAACGGAACACAGTTGCATGTGTTACGTAACTTACGTTAAACAAAATATAACGTAGCTATTAAGGTGCTAGAAAGAGTGGCTCGGGAATTACGGTGCCACAGTCTAGCCACAAACACCCGAACATTTGAAAAATAGAAAGCGAATCGGTAATTCAGAAAAACGCAATTTGGAACGAAGGTTTCATGTTATCGCCTATTGTGTTCAATGAGACCTCTAATCCCATCCATTCTTGTGATGAATGAATGAGACAAGATGAGATTCCCAATGCGAATGTGAGGAGGTTCTAGTTTCAAAAGCAACTAAAAAAATTAACTAAATTTCATGATACAGCAAATAATTTGCGGAACTTGCGGCACATAACACCACCGTGCACGTCAGCAACTTTCCTAAGGAAGTAAGTCCACGAGCAAAAAAAAAGAAAGCTGCTCGCTATCGATAATAAATCCAGCAGTAACTAAATTTATGAATTAAATTACTTTCAAAATATTGCACACCCAGCACAATGAACGGATCAACTATTTGCATTATGGATTAGATATCAGACTTGTCAAAAACTGATTTGATCCTGATTATTTTGCTAAAATCATGTTTTCATTTATCATTTTAGATTAGATATGAAATTACAGGCTGAGAAACCACTAAAAACATGGAAAATATTTAATGCGCCATAAAAATATGAATTAGAAATAAGGCATTGCAAATTTGTTGTTCGTCATAAATGCAATCGAGGAACAATAATTATCCGACTGTGGATCATCGAACTATGAAGACCTCGTTGATTTACTGAGTAATTATAGGATCTGGTCAAATGATTAGCTTGCAATCGATTTGCAAGTTATTTTTGTTGTACGAATTTACCATGAGCAGAATTTACAAAGAGCCAACAGAAAAATCATTATATTGCATGGTTCGCTCATTATAAGATGAGACTGAGAATATATTTCATCCGATTTAGTTATAAAATTGCAAGGCCGCGTGCACTGATGAACTGGAATCACAAGAACCAAAAAATATAGCAAATGTCGTCAGATTTGAAGCTCCTGAAATAAATGCCTGAATAAATTTGACCAAAATAATAATTTAGATCGCAGTTGAATGTTATTACTTTGCCCATAACAGCAGCATAAGCATATCATATCATATTCATTTAGTCGTTCATTAAGGTGCGAAGTGTAATTCTTGCACTCCATCGTTTCGTTGCCTTAGTAATTTGTTTGTGACTTATATAGTTAAACTTTGAGAGATTTTATCTCATTTTGCGTGATTTTATGTGATTTACATTTTTATATTTTTAGTGATTAAAATCTTTGTATGATTTGTGATGTAGTGTCGTATTTTGGTTAAGTGATATAGCAAACCGGCAGAGCTCGGAGTTGAGGCATTAATGATGTCTTAAAACGCGAATTTATTGAAAGTCTCCGTCGAAAATAGACATAACAATGCATGACAAGGTCATTGTTCGTTGTCATCTCAATGTAAGATTGTATTTTGAAGTAAGGATTTGAACAATGCTACGCTTCAGAGGGTGCTCACTCACGTGAAACTTGATCATAAAATACTAATTGGCGAATTCATATCGGATATATGTTAATAGGTAAATCGAGATGGTTTTGATGTTAAAACTTTATCTGGTGTTTCGTCCTTAGTCCTGCAGAAATATTTTTACTTCATGTTGAACCGACGAATTATAAATTAATTAATATTAAATATTAATAATATTAATATGTTAATGCCAGTCAAAAATAAATTTGAAAAGGTTTTTATTATTTCATTTGGTAAATGTCCATCTGAATGATATTTTAAGACTGATACTAAATATTTTGGTGTGCACAACAATAAGGGTTTGAGATTAATTTAATTAAAGTTCGTGTTTTATTTGCATTCTTTTACATTTTCTGGCCTGCGCATCGGTGCAGATTTTACCTATCCAAGAAAATTTCAAATTGCAAATAGAATAAACAAAAAAAACGCTCATTCAAAGCATGCTACAGCGTCCATATAATTTTTCTCGACTGAATTACGAATATCTCGATAACAAATTAAGTTTTATTAATTTGCTTTTTATGAAGATAAATTGGTCAACCAAATTTATCAGAAGTCTCACATTCCTCGAATTTTGTGCAATAAGCGTGAACAATGGGAAATTTTAACGTTAATATAAAAGAATTGAGGTCGAAGATTATTATTATTATTATTAATTAGATTTTATCATTATTAGATAAGATTATTATTAGATGAGCGTCCAAATAGGCATTTTATAAAATGGGGTTGATAGACAATGTCCTGAATTATTATTTGTTGATTGTATTGGCATATGACTCTAGTCATTACACTTGAACAATAAAATTCCCATAAATTGTCAAGCGATCACTGAACATATAGACCCTTGGTACCACTCACTTGAAGTGGTACTTGCCGGCGTGGTAGCCGAAGAAGGGAACTGTATACGTGAGCATCCAAATGTTGCCTCCTCCGCAGTCGAAGTATGGCTCACTCCAGATGCCGTCCTCGTAACGAACGCTCAGAATCTCGTCCTCCATCTGATCCGTTGGGCTGGTTTGGTTTCCCGAGAAGCTGAGGTAACCTGCAACAAAAAATTTGGAGTAATTTTCTTAGGACTTGGTCAATCTAAAACCTATGAAACCAAGGAGGCATTACTAAGAGAACTCATTCAAAATTGAGAACGTTTCTCTGTGCAACGTATGAGCAGTAACACTCGAATTACAATAGAATAATTTGCAGATTTTTTATGTAAAATGTATTTCATCTACTTTATGCATTGCATCCACGAGTGCACGCTGAAATGTAGCGTCGGACTTCCGTTCAGTCAACTCCACTCTTTGCATTCTCCAAGTGCACGAAACATCCACGCACATATATCGTCGTCAATTTAAGTAAAATCTTTGGTCGATCTCAGCTTTTGATTATCGCTTTTTGAGTTCAATATTAATAATATTTTTTAATAAAAAGTTTCTTAATTAATGAAAAATTTTGTGAATCAATATTTGTTAATATATATACTGTATATAATCCTCTTCTGTGCAATAATTCTTCCATTTAGGTTTAGACGCCTTTGAATATTGGTTACTACTTACTAAGATAGGTCTTAGTACTTACTAAGATTCCCNCGAACGACCCGACAACAATATAAAATACGTCAGGTTGCATTTTATACTCGTCAAATACTCGTATAGACCAACAACTCAATTAAATGTCCTCTGATGCCTTGGTTTCAGTGTTATTGCAATTTTATATAGACATATATTGCTTGTAAAAATACAGAGTACGGCGCAGAAGGTGCAAAACCGTCATATGTAAACAGTAAACAGTTGTCCCACTGAAGTAGAATGTTTTCGGTTGCGCGATGCGAAAAGAAATGTATAGAGGGCAAAAGTTTTCGGGAAAAGCAATTTCAGAGTACGAAATGTCGAGGAACGAAGTCATTTCCTCTAACAAATAGACCTCGTATCTCTTGGATGATAGCAAGGTTAACATATATATAACGTGATTTTTCTCCCTTGATATCATGAGCACTCATCTGCTTCACAGAGACGTGAAGTGAAAGTAACTCTGAAGTTCGTAACGGAGACCGACCGAGCCTCAGCAGTGTCACCGCGACAACATTGGAAATAGACACTCATTAAGTGGCTTGGTCCTATTGGATTCTTACGGAAATTCGATGCAGTGTTTTTTTTTCAGTACAATTCTCCTTGATCAAATTTCACGGGTTCTGTTCAGGATCTCTATTCCCGGAATGTGGAAGATAATCAACTAGAGGAGCGCTGACGTGAACACGAATGCTCGGCCGTTTCAACAGCTGCGAGAGACCTAACTTGATAAGCTGGCCTGCAGAGACTCAGAAGCTGCAGTGGATTGATGCGTGGATTGATGCGTGGATTGATGCGTGGATTGATGCGCGGATTGATGCGTGGATTGATGCGCGGATTGATGCGTGGATTGATGAGTGGATTGATGCGTGTGTAGAGCGAGCGTATTAGGAGTTACAAGCCTATATGTATATGTAGCTAGCATGATCTTGAACAAATACCATTCGTCGACCGAAAGTATCCTATTGACGGGGAATTTATGCACGGTTACGTGCACAGCCATCAAATGATTAAGAAGCTGCATAAAACCAAGATATATTTGCGTGAAATACATAGGTAACATTCATTCATCGACAAGCGTGAAATAGATCAACAGTAGTGCTTAATTTGACGCGTAGACGAACTCCTTTAATTTTATATTGAAAGAAAATGGATATTATGGTTTCTTATTTATTTTAATATTTTTCGTGGCGCACATTGTTGAAAATGCATTTTGATCAATAATATTACGTGGTCAAGAAAAATACATTACAAGCTCTTTACTATATAATGATGCGCCACGTTGTGAGTTGGACTTCCAGTCATATCGAATCAGGAATGCAATGGCAAAATATTGCTTACTGAATATATTTCGTATGATATGTTGGATAGCAGTGATTAATCAATCTGGAGAAGCCAAGAGGATTAATCGACCGATTAAATCTTACCTGAGGCTCTGATCTGATCTGGCCGTTCACGGGCACCGTAATATTCCGGAACATCGTCATTGCTTGAGAGTGTTCAGCAGCTCAACAAATTGGAACAGTTCTTCAAGTTAAATGTGGACATTGAGAACATAGAAATAAAGTCCTGTGATGCATGATTGTCAGTCCCAATCAATCATAAATGCAGTCCATCTATCCAAATCAATCATACATGCACTGCATCAATCCAGATTATCATACACGCTATGCATCGAAACAGACAATCACACATGCGATACATCAATTCTGACCAATCATTCATACGATGTATCGAACCCAAACAATCATGCATGCGATGAATCGAACCAAACAATCATACATGCAGTGCATAAAACCTGACCATTGACCAATGCATTCATGCATGCAAAACATCATATCTGTCCAATCATACATGCTTTACATCAAAAGGAGGCTACTCATACCTGCTCTGCATAGACAAAACTGACTACATGCACTGCATCAACCAGTCTCATCGTACAGGCACTGCATTAACCAAAGTAATCTTATCTCAATGCCTATTGACTGCAAGCAACATGGCTTTAATGTTGAATTGCTGTTAAGTGGGAACATAACGGCTTACTTGGAGCTTGCTTAACTGCATTAGTTGGGCCTCGTTTTTATTGGTAAAAATGTACATATATGCTTTTGAACTAATAAGCCAGAGCTTCAGAGCAACTATAGGACTATAGAAAAAAACTAGGACCATATTGTTTCGAAATTATCAAGATATCAAGTTAAAGTTCCATGAATACCATAAAATGCCCATGTATGCTTTAAACTAACGCTGAATCCTTGTTCGGGTTGAATTAGATTGCATTCCAAATTACAAAGCTTAGAAGGACTTGCGTCACATAATTATGTGACGTCATTGTCTTATAGCCCTCTCATCCACACTCGTGATTGGAGAGCAAGCAAGCACGCATTACACTCACCGAATGTAAGGCAGGATTCATGAGCTCGAGTCACGCGAATGCCGAATATCCGACGACGGGGTACTATATTGGCAACTGTTTCCCAATGAAGTTGTAAAACAAGTTTCTACTCACTGATCAAGCTATTCTGTAATATTGTTACTTTACTGAGACAATAATTACCAATAGAGTCTGGATATTGTAGTATTTAGTGATCCGTGGCAGATAACAGCATTCAGGAAATTTTATATGTATAGATTCGATATTTTCTGGCACCGGAGAACAAATCAAATAATATATTGAGTATTTTGAGAGGAAAGGTAATGCTCCAACATATAAAGTTCTGTGATTTGTCGAACGTTTCATTATTATTATTTTCTATAAAAAAATTTTCGCACCGCATTTGTGGAAACCATTTAAGTGGACTTTGCGCAATCGAAACATATTTAGTGTTAATATGACGAGCAAACTTGACGAACGTGCAGCGCCTGAGCGCCGACCTTTACAAGCCTAGGCCTGTCGACGGTGGGCGAGTCGGCCGATAGAGCGGTTGCTGCTCTCCTCTCGTGACATTTTATAGCATCGGTACAGGTATAAAATACGAGACACTCTTCAAAGAACTGAACTGGTAGATCTTTATAATTCATCTTAGAGTATAAATTCAAACAACCTAAAATTCATCATAATTTCTTCATGAATGAATTTCTTCAAGTCGCGCAATGCCCGAAATTTGCAGGAATTCAATCGGACGAAATGCTCGCGTTATAAACATTATTTACTAACAAGCATATAATGTTCAAAAATTTACTCTTTCGTCTGAATCCAAGCAAATTTCTGCCATTCGCTTAATTCAGAACATACACTAACGCTCAGATTGAGCAAGAAAATTGTTGGAGTCCATAAATCCTGCCTGAAATCAAATGTTTCATTCGTCCCTGCAAATTTTTCCTATGTATTATTATGAGTTTTTGCTCAGGCCAAAAAAAAATGAAAATCTAACGTTAAAATCATGAGTGTTCTTGATATAGCTACTACGAAGGTAGTTGTGAAGAAATTTGTCATAAGTTTGTTTAAAACCAGTATTTTAATTTTTTATGCTTTTGGTTCGGCTGAAAATGTTAGTAAGGAACATAGCGCATGAATGATAAATGTCCCATCGTTGATCTCGGTTTTCTCATTTAAATTCATTGTGCGCACGCGAGTAGTTCTCCCTCAAAGGTGCGGTCGTTACAATCATCAATAACGGCCATGAGTTACAGGTCCTTCGAGATATTCGGATTCAGGATTGGAGAGGCGTGGTGGATGCAAATTGCCAGCCTCGCATCCCATGTGCGTTGAGAAGGTTCAAAGAATGTGCAGAGTTGTGAAAATTTCTAAATTTTAGGCTCGAATCTCATCGGTTTTCATGAGCTAAACTAGGCCAAATTTTTGGCCATTCTATCATCAAGCTGGCCTATTGAGGGCTTGAATGGCTAAATCTTACGATTGATAGTTATGATCATATGAGGATCAGGAGCCAGTTTCATGAAATGAATGTCAATTGCCCTCGTGCAGGTTCGTTTATTTATGAGCAATCTCATAGGCGCAACCACGATGATGTGAATGATTCATGTGTTATGAGGCTCCCTGATTCGATGGACCGCCTTATAGTATCTTTATGTTGTGGCATCCAAAGTAATAATCCGGGGTGCAATTTAACATTTTTATTTGGAAATTTTTAAGCTCAAACAGAATTCGTTTTCATATGTTTTATGAATGCTCCAAAAATTTACGATGAATTTTCCGAGAGAAATATCACGTTATATCAGCCGATAAATTAGACAAAATGCGCAGGATATATATATTTTTTTGCGTGAAAGCTGGATACGCATTTTTTTGAGCGCAACGCTTTAAAAATATTTTGTTTGGGCAAAAGAAACAACAAGAATTCCTACATTTGCAATAAAATCTTATCCTGGTCTGATCTTGCAGTTTAAAACGCCGTTCATTCTCTCACCACCATAGACATCATACGATTATTACGGGTGAGGTAACACCATGACGTACATATATGTATCTGATGCCAAGATTTGATCATCATACCATCAGAGGAAATAATGCAGG